GTAAAAGTAGATTTTTCTTTCTGCATTTAGCAAATCATCTTTGAGGTGGTACTTTGGCAACTTCCAAATATCCTGTTCCTCAGCACCTTTCTAACTAATGGTTTTAGCATTCATTGATGATCCCTGCCTGAATCAGTTGAGTTCATTCACATATTTTTAATAGTAATGAAACATTACAGGGTTTTTTCTTTTCTTATACATGTATATGTTTATTAATATTGAATATTTAAATAATAATAATAAATATAAGTTATTTGCTTTATCCTACTTTATCAAAGAGTTAAAAAATATCAGTATTGTAGGAAACACCCTTAATAAGTGATGTTTATTTTATTGCTTCTGGTAAATTTATAACAAAATTTTGTAAACTTGTAAAATGTCTGTTGAGAAAAGGTACTATTATATGGGCTTACAAAACGTAAATTTCAGTTGTTTAAAATTCCAGTGAGGACAAACTTATATTTTAATTTAATACAGTTAACTGATGAGGATAATTAAACATCAGTTAATAAACTTGCACCATTTCTAAAATATACAAAATGTCACATTGCAATTTATGTACAACTATGTTATACACGTTTCTTTCAATTGGAAATAAAACCCATATTTTAAAATCAATATATACTTTAAAAATGTAAGCATCTAAATGGAAAAGTTTCCAAAATATTTAGTGTATTCAACCTTTTCCATAGATGCTTAAACAAATTTGGGGGAGAAAGAGCTATTAATATAACTGCAATACCTGTGTATTTTTTCACGTTTCTCATTCTGTGTATGTAAAAAATACAGGTATATAATATGAAATTATTTGTATAGTTTTAAATTCCCATTAATTTCCCATTCATTCAAAAAATCAGTATTGCAATTAATATTAAAACTGTTGAGTGAAGTTTAAGATTTTGTGGAACCTCTTTTTGTCCTTTGAACGTGTTCTAATAAGATTATATTCAATAAAATCAGTACTGTTCAAAAGTTAGCTAGAATATTTTCTTTTCGTTGTAGTTCTGTTACCATTTGACATATAGTTAGATTTATTTTCATATTTTTGATTTGGGGGCTTGGGGTATTTTCCTTTTTGGTTTAATTTATTTTTTGAATATTTAAAATACTTACATGCTACAGAAGTCAAAATTACATAAAAATGTATAGGTCTTGGTTTCATTCATATCTCCCATTCCCCAACCCTATAGGTAACCATTATTATTGGTTTCTAGGTTATCTTTCCAGTGTTTCTTTTTGTGAAAATAATAAAATACTTCTATATATTTTTTAACTCCCTTTTAAACAAAAACTAGCATACTATATATATTTTTCTGCGCCTTTTTTATCTTAATACATCCTGGTGATCATTCCATATAAGTTTATAGAGACCTTCCTCATTCTTATTAATGACTGCCTACTACTGTGTTTGGATAAATCATGCTTCTTTCAACTAGTCCTTTATTGATTAATAGTTGGATTTTTTCCCAAGCATTTGCTATTCCAAGTAATGTTGCAGTATAGCACTTTGTGCATGTATTTTTTTGATTTTATGAAAGTGCATCTTAGAGTAGATACCTATTGGTGGAATTACTGGCACATGAGGTAATTTTGCATATGTAATTTTGTTATATTTGCCACGTTCCCCTCTATAAAGGTTGTAATCATAGAGATTAGCAGGTATGAGAGTACCTGTTTCTCCAGAGGCTTATCAGAGTGCGTTGTCAAACATAAGGATCTGATGGTAGTTTTAATTTATCCTCTGATGAATGAAAACAAGCATTTTGTTTTTTCATATGTGTAGGGGTGATTTTTCTTTCCTTTTCTGTGAATTGTCTCTTCATATTTTTTGCTCTTTGGTTTTGGCCGTTTCCTCTATATTTTTAGAAGTTCTTTATGAAATCAAAGAGAGTAACCCTTTGAGATATAATTTGCAAATATTTCTCCTGGTTTGTCACTTGTCCTGTGACCTAAATTATGATGAGTCTTTGGGCTTCTTTTGCCACACAGTTTCTTTCTTATATACTTGAATTTATCAAGTTTTTCCTTTAAAGCTTCTGGATTTGGGGTCATAATTAGAAATGCTTTCCCTACTCTCAAGTAATAAAGGAATTTATACATTTTCTAGTATTACTTACATGGTTTCATTTGACTACTTTTATTTATATCTCTAATTTATTAGTATCTTATTCTGTTATATAGTGTAAGGTATGGATCTGATTTAATGTTTTTTTCAAATGGCCATCCACTTGTCCCAATACCATTCATTGAAAAGTCTAACTTTTCCCGCAGTGATTTGAGATGTCACCTTTATCATATTATCAGATTTTCATATGTATTTAGAACTCTTTTGGTTTTTATATTCTTTTTGATTGATCTTTACGTTACTTATTCACTGATACCACACTGTTTTAATTACATAGACGTTATGTTTTTATATTTGGTAGGGCTAACTTTCCTCCTCAGCTGTTCTTCTTTTTCTGGATTTTGCTAAATATTCTTGATTGTTTATTTTTCATATAAACTTTAGATTCAACCTTTGTAGTTCTGGAAGAAAATTATTGGTATTTTTATTGGGGAGAATTGAAATCTTTGTGATATTAATATAGAGTCATCTTTTCCAAGAACATGTGATATCTTTACACTTATTCATGTCTACTTTTTTTTTTTTTTGGTCTTTTAAGAGTTCTTTTTAAAAGCTTTTTATTATAGAAAATTCAAATGTACACAGAAATAAAAAGAATAATATAATGGACCCCATGTACTATTACCCAGCTTCAACAATGAACAACATTTTTAACAGCTGGAGTTCTTGACTTACAGGCAGGGTCCACTTCTTGACTCCATATTTATCTGACTTCAAAAGGGCAGTAGTGCTCTGGTGACTGTCACTCAAAGAGGAGTTTCTAGGTGAAGTGCAATGGTTATTACATTCATATAGTTTCTGGGAAAAAATTTTAAAGGTAAAGAGTTATGTTGATCTTTGAAATGTTTCAGATAGCAATTAACTAATGTTTTAGAGAGTAATTTAAAACAAAACAAAAGTAAATCCTGTTCCCTATCAAAGCATATTTGAAATTAAAAATCATAATTACAAATTCAGAATGAACATATGTCAAAGGTTTAATTTAATTCATTAGGTAGTGAGGGAACCAGTAAGATGGTAAAACTGGTTCTAAGTATTTGAGAAACTTGAGTTTATATAGTCCTTTCTTTAAAAAAAAAGAATGTTAGAACAAGATTGCTGCGTTAGAAACAAAACTGGTTAATGTCCTATAGGGTAACCTTTGGGTTATCTTTTCTATTAGATGGAAATCATTTGCATAGCTATTGGACACAAACCTACAGATTAATATGTAACTTCACAGAGTCTGGGTCCTTTAATTAATAATAAGTAATTCAGTCATTTATTCACCTAGAAAATTAAATAATTCTTTGGTGGACATGTTAAAGCCAGCACATCTGGGTCTGTGCGTCAAATCTGGCCTGACACTTGCTTTTATAAAATGCTTTTGAAACACAGCCACACTCACTGACTATGGCTGCTTTTGCACCATAATGGCAGAGTTGAGTAGTTCCAGCAGAGACTACTGGCCCACATAGCCTAGAATACTTACTTTTTGGCCCTTTACAGAAAAGTTTGCCAATTACTATATTAAACAGTGTTTCAGGATGATATTGAAAGGACATGTTGCCACTACCTAAGCCTTCCAGGATTGCGGTAGTTTTTCTTAAGAACCCAAATGAACATTAGGATGACAAAATCTGGTCTCTGCCTGGTATTTCTGTACCTAATGAACCTCTTATTGCTCCCCCTCTTCTGTATTTTTACTTTATGCATGTATATCTTTCTCTTTGGTGTTGCTACCTTTCTATTCTAGTTGTCTCTGTATCTTTTCCTGTAGTTCTGTCTTGTCCTCCTGCTCTTCTGTATTTCACTTTTTTCCTCCTCCTTAAACTGACTCTAATATGGAATGTTAATATATTTAAATATTGTACTGGTAAAGTATTATATTCCCTACTCTTAATTTTTTATTTTAAGCCCTTTAAAAAAATTTTTTTTAAGTTTATTTATTTATTTTTGGCTGCATTGGGTCTTCATTGCTGTGCATGGGCTTTCTCTAGTTATGGCGAGCAGGGGCTACTCTTCGTTGTGATGCGTGGGCTTCTCATTGCGGTGGTTTCTCTTGTTGTGGAGCATGGGCTCTAGGCACTCGGGCTTCTGTAGTTGTGGCACGCGGGCTCAGTAGTTGTGGCTCGCAGGCTCTAGAGCACAGGCTCAGTAGTTGTGGTGCACGGGCTTAGTTGCTCTGCGGCATGTGGGATCTTCCCGGACCTGGGCTCGAACCCGTGTCCCCTGCATTGGCAGGTGGATTCTTAACCACTGTGCCACCAGGGAAGTCCCTTAATTTTTAACTTAGGTCAATTTAAGCTGTTATATGCTTATCTTAAGATAAACCCAGAATATAAAACAATTTGAGCTATCAAAGATTTTATTTGTTCTATTAATCTCTTTTCTATCGCTTACGTCTCCTCCCACCACCAGTTATAGCTTTCAGTTGAAGAAAAGTTCCCTATTCTGTTATAATTAAGCGAAAGGATTTGTGGGTAAGGGGCATGGAGATAAGACTTTCTTAGTCCTAAACTTTATGTTTTAGAATATTTCTAAAACATTTTTTTCATGTATAGTTTTATGTAGGAAACCTTGAACAAAACAAAGTAACTGGGAATCTACAGAACAGTTAACTTTTTAGTTCACACTTACTAAATATTGGTAGTTGGATGTTTGATGATGCAGTCTGAATACAGTAAATAAAATTGCAGAACTAGAGTCCCGCTCAGTAAATATCCTATTTTCCTTTTCCTAAGTCTAAACATATGTTTTTCTATTTAGAAAAGGTTACATTTTGTTTAGATAGTTAAAGTAATACCTTTCTATTCTCATATCCTATATGAAATCAGAAGTAGTGCTCAATTAAAATGTTTTATCCCTTGATAAATAATGTTTTTTCATCTTCAAGATAAAGCAAAAGGAGAGAAAGAACAATACTGACACTTTATATGAAGTTGTATGCTTGGAAAGTGAATCAGAGAGAGAGAGGAGGAAAACTACAGCCAGTCCCTCAATTCGCCTGCCACAGTCTGGATCTCAGAGTTCAATGATTCCTTCTCCTCCAGAAGACGATGAAGAGGAAGGTAAATTGTAGGGAGAGCTTAATTTCTGTTTTGGGGTGGCGGACCATACAGACCTTTACAATTTTATCAGGGAATTGATAAAGTGACATAGTATTTTGAATTCTTTTAAGAGGACTGTGGGAGATTAAAAAGTGATTAACATAGGACTTTCTTTAAGGTAATTGTAACCAAGTTAGAAAAAAATGAGATTTATAATTAGTCCTTTTTAAAATAATCAGTCTATGCAAGCTTAGTGTATTAATATAGCACATTTTTAGAGCAAATCTGACACAGCTTCCACCTCAATAAATGTTCCCATCTCAACTGATTTATACATTATTGGATTTTCACACTGATAAGTATTAGGAATCAACCAGTTCTTTTTTTTTTTCCTCTTTTTTTCTTATGGTTATATCTGTAAACTGTTCTATCAGTCTGTGTTAAAAGATACTGTATAAAAGTGAGAAATGAAGGGAAGGAACACAGGAAAAGTGAAAGTTTGGGAAGCATTTTCCAGTTTATAATTTTGTACCAGAGCTTTATTTTTAAGGGCAAATTAAGCTGATTATGAGAGGTCATATGAGGCATGCATCTATGTGAGCTTCACAAGAAGTGTTCTAGAAAATTCATAGACGAGAACTCATTTCTCATTGTGGAGTATGTGGTGGAGCACCATGAATAGTTTTTTAGCTGGAACTTTTGAAGTGAAAGGAGAATTCAGGGATAAAGGGGCTGATTTAGGCACTTCTGGCTAAGAAATTACATTAACAAAAGCATGGAGGTGGCAGGAATGTCTGATTGGGTTAAAAGTAATACATATCCATGACTATATGTCCTTTTTTCAAGTTTAGAGCAAGCTCTTACTTTCCACTTTCTGTTGTTCCCTGTAACCTGCTTTTTCTGTGACTAATCAGCTTAGGATCATTTATTAGCAATTTTGATGGCCACCAGTTACTAGATACTTAATATGTGGTAGACAGGTACTTTGTTTATAAAGTAAAGTAATACTTTGTTTATATAGTCCTCACAAATATCCTGAAAAATAGGACTTATTTTGAATATACTTATTCTGAGCATAAGGCAATAGAATCTCAGAAAAGTGAATTTGCCCAGGGCCACAAAAGCTAGAAATTGGCAAGGAGGATTTTAATCCAGGTCTGTGAGTTAATAGTCTTGAGCTCTATTCTGTCACCATCTCTGGGCATTTAGTTCACATAAAGCATTTTGAAGTGCAAAGAAAGCACATATGTTGTTTTTGCGAAGTCAGAGATACAATTTATAGTCTTCCTGCAGAGGCGATTTAAGTCATGTTTTAAGGCTGGGAAAGGTGAAATTGTTCCCACTGTTTGAGATTGTCTACTGTATAACTGGTTCTGGAGACTTTCAGTTTCCCTTCTAGGTCAACACTGCTTAAGATGCAGAGCAAATAAAAGTTTATAGAACTTTCCTCCCCTTAAACTCAGCAATTAAAAAAAAACACCAAAAATTGAGAAAGGCACTCTATTTATTATGAAACCAGAGACTGTTCAAATCTCCATACTATAGATGTTAAAGGATATCTACCAGTTACAAAGGAATTTGGGCCCAACTAATAGATAACATCAGGATTGAGATGTAGTTCTAATCTCTAGCAGGCATGGATTTTTAATATAATTGAGGGGGTTCAGAAGGCCTGTACTGACAGCTCTTAACTGGGGAGAGGTAAGGACTAACAGCAGTCAGCAGTCCATGGGAGAATCAGGGAACACTAGAACACAAGCTCTATAAAGGAAGAGAGTGTGTCCTTTTCTGCCCCACATTATTTCCCTGGTGTGTAACCCAATTCCTGGTATATAATAGATGCTCAGTAAATATTGGCAGGATGAGTAACCCTCCTGGGGTCCATTTCCATAGTGAAAAGTTAATGACAGGAGAACTGGGACTGAAGAAGACTTCAGCCATGCCATCTGGTAATTCTCTCTAACCGAGTATACAAACAAGGGAAACTGGTCCTGTTGTGATGTTTGCTCCATGGAAAGAAATGGCTGTAATCCTCTAAAGAGGCTCCTTATCCATAGGACATTTGTGCTCACAGGGCTGGAAGCCAGCAGTTATAAATGAGAGGTGTTCAGAAAACATTCTGAACACATCCAGACAGTAAAAGAGAATTTTGTAAGATAGGTCTTCCTAATCTCTTTAAAGGAATTATCTCTTGTAAATTTTAGTACATTTTTTAGTAGCTGTCGTCCCCCAAAGACGTTGTGTTATATTGACATTTTTAATGAGTAGTTACTTGAGGTATTTAGAAAGTAGGGCCAATTCTGGCAAAAAAATGAAGCAGGGGAAGTTTGTCTTAGTGCACTGGAGCCTTTCTCTTTTCCTTATCTATCTGCAGAGGTCTCACTTATATTCAGTCTGTCCTCTTCCGTAACTCACTATGAAAACTGCTGATAATGTTCAAGGCATTATAATATAAATAAGTTTAATAATAAGTATCCTGGATTTCTGAGCCTTTAAAATCAGTGCTCTCAGATATGCCATCTCTAAACGGATGCCAATTCATGATGTAATCATCAGAGGTGTAAAGATCAAAACTTTTTAAGGCAGGTTAAACCAAAAAATCTAGATACAGCATTGGTTGAGGACACATGGAAACAAGTACTGTTGTACCCAACTAGTGCAAATATCAATTGGTAAAACCATTTTGGAAGGCAGTTTGTCAGTAAGTTTCAAAATCCTTAAAAGCATGCATTTTTTAACCCAGGGAGTTCTCTTCTGGGCATATACCCAATAAAAACAATGAGATATGTTCATCCTGATATTATTTGTAGTAAAAAGTTGAAAACTCACCAAGTGTCCAACAAAAGAAGATTATTAAGTCTTAGTTCATATTTTCCCTCCAATTTCATTACACTTTTCAATTTGTCTCAGATGCCTTTATCATTGCCACTTTTTTCACTGTCTTTATGTCTTATAATCTTTCACTTCATATTCACATTTACATTTCCTAATTATTTGAACTAAGTTTGAAATGATTCATTTTGGTCCTTTTTTAAATATTTTTGTGCTTTCTATTATAAATTATGTCATTGTAGAAAATTTAGAAAGTCATAAAAACATAAAGGAGGAAAAAGAATCATAACTCCATCACTCAGTGTTAATGTCTTGGTATAGTTCATTCCAGACTATTTTCTGTTTTTTAACATAGATTATAATGAAGATTTAGCTCTTATGTTTATTTTTTGTGGTATTTTGCCAGATCATTATGTAAACAAGTGTCAACACAAATTTACATTGTAAACATGTATCATAATTTATTCTGACATTCTCTGCTTTCTTATTTTTGTAGCTTATGCTTAGGTGGTTTGTAATTTTAACTGTTATACATAAGACTGCGATATATTTTCATGTATAAAGCTGTTTGCTTTGGAATAGGTGAGAGAACATACTCATATTTTGAGTCCTATCATTTTATAATTATATGGCTCTTTTCTGCAGTTGACATAATATAGACCTATATGAAAAGCAAAAGAGAATTAAAGAGATTACAACAACATTCCACCTGGGACCATTTTTATTTTCCTCATACTTATAACTATACACTGAAAGAGAGAAATTATGATACTTTGTTCCCAGTAAAATCTTTCAAATTTGACTGTTATGTTTCTAGGTCATTCTTCTGGCTAGCATAGCCACCTCTCTTATCCTTTTTTGTGTGTTTTGTTTATTAAAGATAACGATGAACCTCTCTTGAGTGGATCTGGTGATGTATCCAAAGAATGTGCAGAGAAAATTCTTGAAACATGGGGAGAACTGCTGTCTAAATGGTAAGTTGTAATAGAATAGTTCTCCTTTTCACCTATAATTCTTATTTTATGGGTATGGAATTTTACCTAACATTATTGAATTTTGGAGCCAATAATAAAAACCTAAGTATGAGGTTCATCTGTTTTTAGAGGTTTATAAGGGTAGTAGTGAAGATCTGAGATCAACTTTCAAAATATCAGAAACCTAATAAATTCACATTGTTGCAGAAAATATTTATTCAAACATGGAAAGCATGGGGAGAATAAACAAGAAAAGAAGTCATTTGTATTAAAGTGGTTAGGAACCACTGACTGGTTAAGATAATACACAGTTGTTAAGACTATAAACAATAATCAGGTTTAGAAGATGCTCACACAATGCATAGAGCCATGGTAAGAGACTCCAGGTGGGATTTTTCCTTATCTGTGTTATATGCCTCAACTGACAGAGCAGCATGTTATAAACATGGTATATATTAATTGCTCTACCAATTAGTTTTCCTACTAACACTTGTAAAATTCAGGAATTTCTCATCAGCTCAAAAGATGGTTTGACAACAAAATTAAACACTATCCTCTAGGCTGTCTAAAGAGAGTACACTACCTTCAGGTATTTATTAATGGTATCAGAGACAATCTGGTAAATCAAGTTGGTGAGACATTTATGTAGTTTCCTTTCCCCATTGAGTAGGATGCCTGTATATGCTGAAAAGAGCTGAACTGGAAAGTGATCTGAGTAGTTTTCTATTTCTGACTTTCTGGTTATTAGGGTTGTCCGTTAGCTCCCCATGGACCTGTTATTTTGGAGTCTGATTTTTCTCGGAAGTTTTAACTGTTGAAACCTTCACTCTATTCTTAGTAAAACTGTCTCAGCATTAAAAAAAAAAACTTCATGCCCTTAAGGGATGGGACTACAAATGGGCATCATCTGCTTCTAGCACTCTCACAGTGCTTTACACTTCTGGTAAAACACTCTCCACATTGGGAAATGTCAAATGTGTACAGGAGGAGGATGCAAACCAAAGCATGGTTTGTCTTTACACAAGTGGTTTTAATAAATGAACTCTGCAAAAGCCCCCCAGGGGAATAGTTTTCATTTATTTTTGATATTCCTGTAGCAATCAGGAGACAAACCTGCTGATGCTCTCATCACAATATATTTTCAGTTCAGTGATTTTGGAGTGTTTGGACTGCTGCTGGCAGGAATTTCATCTGTATAAAAAGGTTTCTGCTCTAAAATAGAAATGTAATTGAGTCTTGACATGGTTATATAATAGCGTATTTAAAATCATTTATATATAGCATCTAAGTTTTATAAAATGAACTCACCAGCATTTTATACAGTTGCTTGGAGTTTGTTTTATCAAGCTTTGTTTATTCATTTTGTTATTCATTTGATTAAATGATATCCTTATCTTACTCCTTCAAATATATTAACTAAGTTTCCATCTGTATCAACTGTCTTTCAGGGTGTTTAAAACTGTTTTTGCTGGTTTCAGTCATGTCTTTAGAAATAATAATACAGTTTCTCTTCTTCAATTCATTTTGTCATTATTTTTTTTCATCATTATTATATGTGTTCTGTAATAGGAACCATCCACAGTATCATGGAGTTTTAGAGCCTGGTAGACCTGGCTTCAAATCCTACCTCTCCTATTTCTAAGCTATATGATATTGGGCAGGTCACTTAACTCTTTTGAGTCTGTTTCTTCATTTACAAAATACAAGTCTGTAGAACCACCACTCAGGATTATTCTAGATTAAAAATAATAGATGTTGTAATGGTAGTAATCATAGTAAGAAGTAATAGATTTATCACGTATCCGGTGCTGTGCTAAGTTATGTGCTCTATTTCAACTATAACAACCTTATAAAATAGTATCCATTTTTATAGATGAGGAAACTGGCTTAGAGATTAAGTCAGCAATTCTAGTTAGTAAACAGCACCCAGAATTTTTAACACAGTCAAGTCTGGTCCCAAAGCTGGTTTATTTAACTCTACATTAGATTTTAGTGGCAGTAATTGTAATAAATATACCTTTGCGCTCTAATTCTCCAAGTTCCTTTTGATATGAATTTTAGTCAATAAGAGAACTAATGTCAGTAATAAAATAGTATGCTGAGTTAGCTAGTTATTATTATAAGTGACATAAAATTATTCTGAAAATAATTTTATCAATATAAATCAAGCTAGGGTTATCAAATAATCCTGGGGGTTAGGTTTATTTTTTTTGTAAAGAGCCAAGTATAAATGTTTTAGGCTTTGTGGTCAATAGTCTCTATTGCAACTACTCAACTCTGCTGTTGCAGTGTGAAAGCAGCCATAGACAGCACGTAAAGAAATAAAAATGGCTGTTTCAATAAGAGTTGATTTACAGAAACACATGGTGAGCCAGATTTGTCCCACAGGCCAAAGTGTACCAATCCTTGAATTAGGTAATAGGACTACTTTTGTCCTTTCTGCTCCCACCTGTTCAACTTTTATATAGTTTTTTTTTCTAAGCAAAGCCAAAACTATACTGAACTATCTATAGCTCTTATATTAGGGTGCTAGCATCACAGAATTAACCATTTTTAAATGTACTGTGCATTATTGTGCTAGTATTCTGGGAGAATTTTGAGAAAAGTCTCAGACCTTTTTGTATTTTGATAGTGGTCATTTTGTACCAGTAACTTCTGTTTAAATCTGATAGTCACAAGAATTCCTCTGTGTCAGGATCCTGCTTTATGTGTCAGTAATGGTGGCTTTCAAATCACAAAGCAGCTATTACGTAACATATAGTGCATTCATTAGTCTTAGAGTTTGAGGCTACCTCAGTCTTGTAATCAACTTCCCTGAACTTCTTTCTGCATCTGTAGAACTGGAGATACTGTCACATACCTCAGATGGTGGTTGTAAGCAGCAAATAAAATTATGTGCAAAAGCACTTTGTAAACTAATACCAACATTTCAAGATTTTTTTTTATAATTTAATGCTGTGTTTCCTTTATTTATTGTTTGTTTATTTATTTGGTTGCACCACGTCTTAGTTGCGGCTCTCAGGCTCCTTAGTTGTGGCATGTGAACTCTTAGTTGCGGCATGCATGTGGGATCTAGTTCCCTGACTAGCGATGGAACCTTGGCCCCCTGCCTTGGGAGCTCAGAGTCTTAACCACTGCGCCAACTGAGAAATCCCTCAAGATGTTTTATTTCCCCCCCAAAAAAAGTATTTTAGGGAATTCCCTGGCGGTCTAGTGGTTAGGACTCTGTGCTTCCACTGCAGTGGGGGCATGGGTTTGATCCCTGGTCTTGGAGCTGAGATCCCACATGCCACACAGCACGACCCCGCAAAAAAGTTGTTTTATTTCCCCCATTTTGTAGATGAGATAAATGAAGCTCAAAGACTTTAATGACTTGTTTTGATGTTAAAATAGTACAGTAGAAACTTTCTTATCCACCATAGTTATTCAAAAAAGTTACTGGAAGTAAGGTGTCATAAAAACTGCTGAAATCATATATCTTTATATTTATTCTCACTTGGAACAAATATATATTTAAATGTAAAATGTAAAAATACACAGTTTGCTTATCAATTTTGATGCAGAGTCGAGCTCTTATCTTTGGCTATGTGTCAAATGATTGGAATTTTGCTTTGTTTTTCTTATACAAACTACAACCATAAAGCTGTGGTTTCCAGTTTTGCTTTTTATCAAAAAAAAGTAGAGTAATAATTTAAAGATACTTTAAGAAGCAGTCTGACTTCAGAATTCTTTCCTCCACTCAATCTTTTACAGTTACATTGGCCACATCTAGTTCAATGACTTTTTTTAAAACTATATTACCTTTATTAAGTCTTTGTATATCATTTAGTTTAGCTTTCATAAAAATAACACTCTTTTAGAGAAGCTGTCTTTAATGCACTTATGGATTATGGCTTTATTTTTAGGCATCTTAACTTGAGTGTGAGGCCAAAGCAGTTGTCATCCTTAGTAAGAAGCGGTGTTCCTGAAGCTCTTCGAGGAGAAGTCTGGCAGCTGCTAGCAGGTTGTCACAACAATGACCACCTGGTAGAAAAGTACCGAATTCTCATCACAAAGGTAAGGGGATGATAATTCAGCTTCAGCATTAGTCCTTTTAGAAATTTATTACAAAAAGATCATTGTGGCTATTTGATTTCTAAGAATTTTATATAATTCGTTTATCTGATGTAAGAGTAGAACTTTCATACTTCTGTCCCAGAGATATTTCTAGTATTGGCACAAAGGAGAAGGCATAGGTTTTCTTCCTTCCTTTTCACCTCAGAGGCAAAAGATGGCCTCTACCCTTTGTGTATGAATCTCTTTTGACCATAATTTCATTCTTAGTCAGGTCAGTTGTGCTGTGCCATGTGTAAAAACTTTCGTTTGTTTGTTTATGTATTTATTTATTTATTTTGCGGTACACGGGCGTCTCACTGTTGTGGCCTCTCCCGCTGTGGAGCACAGGCTCCGGACACGCAGGCTCAGCGGCCATGGCTCACAGGCCCAGCCGCTCCGCGGCATGTGGGATCTTCCCGGACTGGGGCATTACCCGCGTCCCCTGCATCGGCAGGCGGACTCTCAACCACTGCACCACCAGGGAAGCCCTCCTTTCTTTATTTTCTTTCTTTCTTTATTTATATTTTTGCAGTACGCGGGCCTCTCACGTTGCGGAGCACAGGCTCCAGACGCGCAGGCCCAGCGGCCATGGCTCACGGGCCCAGCCGCTCCGCGGCATGTGGGATCTTCCCAGACTGGGGCACGAACCCGTGTCCCCTGCATCGGCAGGTGGACTCTCAACAACTGCGCCACCAGGGAAGCCCCCTTTGTTTATTTTAATCCTTTTCACACTTCAAAGAAATGTGCTCTTTGTAGATAAGGCCTAGTCCTAGTTTTTACAATTGGAAGAACATGGTTCTTATATCGTAAACCATATTCCCTTTTAGTTCATTCCTCTAAAGTGAAGAATTCTATTTTTTATAGTATCCCCTTCTCAAGTTCATGAATTGCTCAAGGTTTTGCAAGTGAAGCAACGAAATTTTTCCTTGTACAAGTATACAAGAATTTAAACTAATTTTTTGCAAGGTCAGGCTGTGCTTTGTGCCTTTTGCAGGACCCATGGTACTGGTTATAAGTTTTGTTTTTGTTTTCTAAAATTCTTCAAGTTTTTATCTTTAGGAAGCAGTTTCTCCAATGATATGCAAATCCCAAACCTGAATTATGAATGAATTTCTCAGAACCCCCAGTAATATATGAAAAATTTTCAATGTGACAAAAGGTGGGACTTCTTTTAAAAATATATTAAAACGTTATGAGGTGAATAGTATCTCTATAAAACTATAATTAAAAAAAAAACCTTATAGGTAAGGACAACATTTGAACATGAAATCAGATCTTTCCTCAGCAGAAATATGACTTTTTTTTTAACACCTTTATTAGAGTATAATTGCTTTACAATGGTGTGTTAGTTTCTGCTTTATAACAAAGTGAATCAGCTGTACATATACATATATCCTCATATCTCCTCCTTCTTGCATCTCCCTCCCACCCTCTAAGTGGAGAAAAATGACTTTTATTTGCTCAAAATATTAGTGTTTCTATTCATCATCTTGTTTCCAGACAGATGTATTTTCCTTCAGGAACTAATATTCTGTTTCCCTTCATTATGTTGATGTTATTGTTTAACCAGCTATATTGAGTGCCTATTACAACCACAGTGCTGGAGCTAGGAGGTCAAACACAAAAGCAATTAACATAAATCATGTGATAGTCTGGAAAAGCACAGTGGGAACCACCAAAAGGAGTGATTAATTCAGCCTGGGGGAATAGGAGAGTCTTTATCAGGAATATGATGTTTAAGATGGGTTCCAGAAAAGACCTCCCTAGGCATGGAAGAATGGCAGAGCGTTGTACTCATAGTACCATTAGAGACATGGAAGAACAAGGTTATGCAACATGTATGGCTAGCAAAAGTACACTTAGTTGATTTTTTTCTTTTATTGGCAAATCCTATTTTGGATATATAATTATAACATTTTGAAGTCCTTTGAAATGTTTGGCCAAAAATTATTTCTTAAATATTTTTGGTGTGGCTACTCATAGAGATAATTTAAAGACATGAAGTATTTGGGCTTCCCTGGTGGCGCAGTGGTTGGGAGTCCACCTGCCGATGCAGGGGATGCGGGTTTGTGCCCCGGTCCGGGAAGATCCCACATGCCGCGGAGCGGCTGGGCCCGTGAGCGATGGCCACTGAGCCTGCGCATCCAGAGCCTGTGCTCTGTAGCAGGAGAGACCACAACAGTGAGAGGCCTGTGTACTGCAAAAAAAAAAAAAGGAAGACATGAAGTACTCTATTTTTCTGGTTCCATGAAAATGGTGATATCTGTTTCTCGAATAGGAACCTGGTAGTTATTATTATAATTGACATTTTAAAAATTTGCTCTGAATTTTTTTGAGGGGAGAAACTACTTTAAATTTAAAAAAATTTTTTTTTACAGCAAGCTGTAATTTACATAGGCTAAAATACACAACTTTAAAGTGTACGGCTCCATTACATATGAATACACTGCTCTGATCATTACTAAAAGGAAGAATATATCCATCACCCCAAAAAGTTGTTATTGTCCCTTTCTAGTCATAACCACTCCTACACCACCCCTGAAAAACCAATACAGTAAGTCCCCTACATACGAACCTTCAAGTTGCGAACTTTCAAAGATGCAAACACGTTTGCATGTCCAATCATGTAAGTTAGTTCACGTATCTGGCGTACATTGTCACGTGGTGCATCATGTACAAGTGGCTGTGCTTTTGTGTTCTTTACTGTACAGTACTGTATAGAGTACAGTAGTACAGAATCTTTATTTCAAGCCCAGGATGTCCAGAAGCCAGCATGAAAGCAGTGGTGATGTAGCTGATACTACTGTACTTTTCAAGGTACTGTACTATAAGGTTTAAAATGTTTTATTTTTTGTTTTTATTTGTTTTTTTATGTATTGTTTGTGTGAAAAGTATTATAAACCTATTACAGCACAGTACTGTATAGCCAGTTGTTTTAGTTGGGTACCTAGGCTAACTTTGTTGGACTTGGGAACAGACTGGACTTACAAAAGTGCTCTCGGAACAGAACTCGTCATATGTAGGGGACTTACTGTAATCTTTCCCTAGATTAGTTTTGATTGTTCTTGAACTTTATTTACAAACAGTCATGCAGCATGTACTCATTTGTATTTGACTTCTTTTGGTCATCCATTTTGGGAGTGTATCAGTAGTTTGTTTTATATTTGTTTTCGTTTTTTTAATTGCTGAGAATATTCCATCGTATGAATATTTAAATCACACTTTAAAAAAAATCTGTTCTGCTATTATAGATGTTTGTGGCTTTTTAAATTTCTCCCTGTTTTAGCTTTTATAAAGCTGCTGTGAACATTCTTGTGTTGTTTTTTGTTTTGTTTTTGTTTTTTGCGGTACGTGGGCCTCTCACTGTTGTGGCCTCTCCCGTTGCGGAGCACAGGCTCCAGATGCGCAGGCTCAGCGGCCATGGCTCAGGGGCCCAGCTGCTCCGCGGCATGTGGGATCTTCCCGGACCGGGGCACGAACCCGCTTCCCCTGCGTCAGCAGGTGGACTCTCAACCACTGCGCCACCAGGGAAGCCCTCTTGTGTATATTGATAACAGGTGCTATGGTCTGACTGTGTCCCTTAAATTTCATGTTGAAACCTAACCACTATACCAAGGTGATAGGGAGGTGATTAGGCCATGAGGGCAGAACCCTCATGCTTGGGTTAGCACCGTTATAAAAGAGTCTCGGGAAAGATCCTCCCCACCTTCCACAATGTGAGGATACAACTAGAAGTCGGCAGTGTGTAGCCCAGAAGAGGGCCTTCACCAGAGCCCAGCTGTGTGGCACTCTGATCTTAGACTACTAGCCTCCAGAATTGTGAGCAATAAAATTCTGCTGTTTATAAGCCATCCAGTCTGTGGTGTTTTGTTATAGAAACCCAGGCAGACTAAGACAGTGCAATCTTTTATTCAGTTATTCTTCTATTGGTAGGCATTTATTTTGTTTCAAGTTTTTAGCCTCTAAATAGTGTTTACTAAACAATCTTACACATGTTCTAAATCTTTGACTTTTATTGAATAGTCTCAGTAGTGTGATTGTTGGATCAAAGGGTAATATGTTTTTTAAACTTGTTATTTAATTTTTGTATTTAATTTACTTATGTCCAGATTGCCTCTGTGAAAGGCCATATATGACAGTTCACAGTTCCACCAGCAATGTAGGAACGTACCTATTAACACATATCCCAAACAGTATTAGTTATCAGTGTAAGTTTTGCTGTCAGTGGATGTAAGTGATGCCAGTATGTCTTTAGTTTGCAGTTCCCTGACTACAAATAAATTTGAGCGATTTGCTCTTCCATCTCTTTATATTCTTTGTATATTTTTCTATTAACTTTAAGATGTCAGTTTCTAAGTACTTTATATAATTATATTCTTTGTAGTTTCATTATAAATATCTTTCTAGAATTTTAGATTTATATTAACTTTATGGTTTCATGCCATACGAAACACTTTCAATTTTTATGTAGAAAATTGCATCTTGGTTAAGGTCTCTCCTACCTCTAGATTTTGTAAATATACTTTCCAACGTTTCCTTGTGATTTTTATTGTACGTGTTATATTTTTATGTCTTTAATCCATCTGGAATTTATTTTTGTACATGGCATATGATAGCAGTCCAATTTTACTTTCTCCCAGATGGATAACCAGTTGTGCTACTTCTATTTTCCTACTGAGTAGAACTGCCACGTTTGTTATATCTTAAATTCTCATATATGCTGGGATTGATTTCTAGCTTGTTCTATTTATTTATTTTTGTGTATTCCTATACCAATACTGTTTTGGTTAAAGAGGCTCTGAGTTATGTTCTAATATCCAGTAAAGCAAGTCTTTTTTTCACTGTTTCCTGTTTCATATTTTTCTTATCTATTTTTGCATATTTAATCTTCCATATAAACTTTAAAGTCATTTTCTCCAGTCTCACCATTATCCTGAAAAGTTATATAAGGATTCTAGTTTGAATTACATTTAATTCACATATTAATTTAGGTTATAAGATACATTGTTATAATATCTTTACATCTGAGAATATGGTATGCCTTTCCACTTGTCAAGGTCTTATGTCTGTTGGAAGACTTCAGAGTTGCCTTCATATATGTCTTGTTCCTCTTTTGTTAAATTTATTCCTAAGAATTATCTTAGAGTGTTGTCGCTATAGCAAATGGAATATTCTTTTTTCTGATTTCCATTTCTAAGTAGCTAATTGCTACAACAGAGAATAGACATTAATTTTTTCTAATTCTCTATCCATCTACCTCTTGATATTTTGATTAATCCTCCTAATTTTATACTAGCATCTTTTAAGATTTTCTGGTATATGATAATAGCAGCAAAAACAGTTTCACTTCTTTTTTCACTGTTTATTCAGGCTACTAAATTTTCTTGTTTTTATATTTGATAGAAGCTTTAAGACAGTGTTTAATGATGGTGGTGATAGCATCCCTATTGAGTTCCTGATTTTAATTAAAATGGTCTTAGTGATTCAGACTTCTGGAAAGCATGCTATTCAGTTGTGGGGGTTTTTTGGTAATACTTTTTATTTTATTTAAGTGATTTTATTCTATCTCAGGCTTTGATTTTTTTTATTAGGAATGTCTACTGAAATTTTATGAAGGACTTTTTCAGCACTTAATAGTGAATATGATTTTCTTTAACTTGTTCTTGGAGTAGATGCGTTATCAACATATGATAGGCTTCTTGATATTGAACTACCCTTGGCTTCATGGAATAAATTTCTGCAGACCAAATACTCCTGGATTTTTAGTTTTCTGTTCTCTCTGGTCTTTGACAGAGGGTTCCTCAACCCTAGTCTCTAGTTAGAACTTGTCAGGCACAGGGGAAAGAAGCCCTAAGTAATTCACAGGGACTCTTACGGGCTCTCTTACTCCCAGCTGTAAGACCTATAGCTATTTGGGTCTGGTAAATCAAGTAAATTGGAGTTGAGAATGGAGGGAAAAGAGGGTGCTTTCTGGTCTCCATCTTCCAGAATCATCCTCTGGTCCTTCTTTCTTTTGGTTATTTTTCACCTTTTATATCAGTGACTATTTATTTTGCTTAGTACCAAAAATTTACATCAGAATGGCTTCCTTAACAGATTCTTTTAATAAATAAAAGAATAATGAAATAGCAGCGTGTTCTGATGTTTCTCTTTCCTTCCATCCAGTCAGCCTTGTGTTTTCTGAAACCTATTTGCATTGTTTTCGCTAGTGATTTTAGTGGCAAACCTCAGTGGTAACAGTCTTTTGCCATCAATTTCAAGTTTTTATCCAGAGCCACATAATCGATATTTACATTTCTGATTGTCCAAGGGAAGCCCTGGAGGCCCAGCCACATTTTACCAGTCTGGAAAAATAATTTAAATATCTAATTATAACTTCGTTTTAATTAAAAATCTCTTCCTGGTTGATTTGGTAATAGTCAAGGATTCAATAATATTTAATCATAAGAACCTCCTGTGGATACTAAACAAAAAGGGGATCAAGTTAGCAAAAAGATCACTGGCCATGAAGTTAGGAAGTGTCTGGGTACTAGTTTCAACTCTGCCACTGGCTTACATGAACTCAGATGAGGTTCTGACTATTTCCTTTTCTCTGCTGAAATGAGGTTGCTGAAGTAAATGGTTGAGCTTCCTTTAAGTTTCCTTTAAGCTTTAACATTCTGGAAAAATTAAATGGAATGTTTGAGTCCTGCCTCCAAAATAGCCTGTGATTCTACTGTTTCACAACTCAGTACTCTTGCTGTCTGATTCTGTAAGAAAACAATTGCCAGTGGACTTTCAGAACTTTATTGTCTGCTCCACTATAGCAGTTGCCATAGTAGGTCAGCTATAGACTGAATGTTCTTGGCTCCCCAAAATTCATATGTTGAAACCCTAACACCACCCCCACCCCCAACAATGTGATGGTGTTTGGAGGTGGGGCCTTTGAGAGGAGATTCAAGATTCAAGGGACCTCTCAAGGGGGTAGAGCCCTCATGAATGGGTTTAGTATCCTTATAAAAAAAGACCATAGAAAGCTCCCTTGCCCCTTCTGCCATGTGAGGACACAGTGTAAGATGACTGTGGATTCTCACCAGACACCAAATTGCCAACACCTTGATCTTGGGCTTCCCAGTCTCCGGGACTATGAGAAATAAATTTATTGTTTATAGGCAATTCAGTCTATGGTATTTTTGTTATAGCATTTCTAATGGACTGAGATACTATTCCTTTAAATTGTTATTTGTGAAAATAATTTTTAAGTCCCTATATCCCATCTTTGTAAATTCATGTACCCTCTGATGAGTTTCTGTAAGTCATACCTGTCCAGGCAGTTTTCAAGTTCTTTCTGAATTATAAGACTATAAAAACATAATTAGGTTTGGTCATATTAAATTTGCTGGTATCTGACAGTGTTTGATTTACAAATAGGCAATTTCACATGCATCAACCTAATAATTATGGGTGAATTAAACTGTTACCATACTAGGATTTTACTTGAAAGGTCTTCCCATCCAAAAACAAATGCCTGTTGTTTTATTAGGCATTTGTTGTTTAGTCAATCAGAAATACCTTTGAAAGCCTGCTTTGTGCCGGCCGTGTGTTAAGGTCTTATGGTTATGCCCATGAATAAAATATACCAGTTCTCTGGTTTGGGGGAATCTACAGTCTAATGAGGGAAATAGGCAATTAACTAACCATTTGGAATAAAGTTGCATGAGGGTTATAGAAAAGAAGATACATACTGTTGTGCAGCAAATGACAAGGACTTCTCATCTAAGGGTTCAAAAAGTTCTCTTGTTCAGAATTATCCAGGGAGGGGGATTGTGGTGGTAGGAGAGGGGGGCATGTGTGCATGGCATGTGTGATGTTAAAAGTCAAGGGGAAAAGCATGTTCTCAAGGGTGATAAAGAGCTTGGCAGTTTCAGAGTGTGAAAGTTGGTAAAGTCAGAGAAGGTAGGTAGGAGCCAGATCTTAGAAAGCTTAAATAAGGCATATTTAATATCTCAGGCAATAGGAAGTCATTTTAAGTAGGCAAATCATATATTCAGGTTTGGAAGGCAGTATGCAAAGTGATTTAGTGTGTCCATCTAAAGGTAGATTATCTTGATTCAAATCCTAGTTTTCAGGCCATTGACACTGGGCAATTTACAATTAAACCTTTTGTTTCCTATGTGTAAAATATGATAATAATAGTATCTTATTTGTAGAGTAGTTAGAATAGCTTAGATAATGCATGAAAACACTTAGTACAATTCATAGCCCCTGGTAAGTATAAATTAACCACTTAGTTATTGTTATTATTTATATTATCATTGAGTTAGAATGGAGTAAGATTAATTGCAGCAAAACCTAGTAATTCAGGCAAGAGATAATTGTTACTTGGTTTGTTATTGTTATTATTTGTATTATTGAGTTAGAATGGAATAAGATAAATTGCAGCAAAACCTGTTAGCAATTCATGCAAGAGATAATTGTCACTTGGTTTGTTTCAGTGGCAGAAGGGATAGAGAAAGAGGTAACTTCTTGAGAGAAATTTCACAGGTAGAAAGAATCCTTGGCACTTGGTGATTGAATGAATGTGCGAGATGAGGGAGAGGGAGGGGAATTAAATTGGGTTTGGAATGACATCGATATAAATACACCCACATCAGCTGAACTAAAATAATTAAATAAATCAACATTTAAAGCTCATTTTTACTAAATAATAAGTGATAGATAATGCCCAGAAGTGAATCTTATGAATTTGAATCACTGGAGGAAAAGACAATAAAAATACACATTTCTAATTAACTAAAAATTGTCATAATTTGACACTCCCAATTAGCTGAAAATTGTCATCACTTATGACATCACCTGAAGAGCCACAATAAAATCCTAATTTGCCTTGTGTTAAGTAAGCACAAACAAGATTGTATATTCTAAGATACAAAGCTAGTTTGTACCATGAAACTTCCTGCAATTTTCAAACCTGGGTGGAAGTGGGTGCATTTTCTTGTCCATCTTTTGTTTGTATATTTGTGTACCACTTCTCAGCAAACTAGAAGCAAGTAATGGCATCTCAAAACCATAGGATAGTGTCAAATACAGGAACAATGTAATTCCTCTTTGTGTGTGCTGTTTCTGCAATATTCAGAGTAGATGGGATTTTCTTTATTTTTTCTCTTGAAAACCTAATTTTTGTTTGTTGTTTTGGTCACGTTTCTTAAAATAGATCCATATTTAGTGAATCATGAGAGAAAATTAATGCTAAATATGTAGCCTTCTAGCTAGAACTTCTTGTGCTGAATTATGATTCCTCAGTTGTCACGCACTGTTAACACACTTTCATTCTTTAACATTGCTCTTTGTTCTATGGGAAATGCTACAAGAAAGTAGGAATTTCCTCTCACCATTACCCCTCTGGCAGTGTGTTTCAATCTAATTCCTGGCTTGCTGTCTGTCCTGCTTACTACCTCTTCTCCTTACTAGCAGTCTAAATTCTGCTTCATCTACTAAGAGGGGGATTCCAGACAGACGAGGAAACAGCCTTCAAACGCTGCCCTGCAGGCATATTAAGTTATTCCCCCACTGTGCTGTCTGGAAATCAGGGAGCACCTCTCTGGCAATGAATTCTAATGAGCTGCTAAAGATGCCGGAGTGTGTGCGCACACAGGCGTTTTCTTTCCCCTCCCCCGCCTCTTCCTTTTCCCAAGCCCCTCTTCTCCCTATTTCCCCTCCTACTCCTTTATCCCCTCCCTCTGTGTCTCATTTCTGCAGTAAACGGGGCTGAGGCACATTCCTGCTTTGCAAGGCTTTCTGTTAAGGTGTTCTGTGGCTTTTGTTTGGATCGCAGCATGCTGAATTACAGGTAATACTCTGAAATTGAGCTAGACAGATCAATGCTGTTGAAATTTTTCTAAGAGGCAAAATATTACATTGGAATCAATGAAGAAAATAAGTTATCTTGGCTAATTTTATTCATGGTAATTAAATTCTATAAGCAGATTCCTCTTCTCCCCCGAAAAGCTTAAATGAAAGGAAATGGGGTTAGATTGATCTGACTTGCGATTGATTTTGTTTTATGTTGATCATGAAAGCTTGCTGTTGCTGCGCCTCCCCTGTAGAGTAAGGACCAATTATGTGGGGTGCTACTGAGGGTAGCCGTGAATAGTTGTACTGGGTGGGGTGGGATAGAGTGGGAGGGGTGATACCAGCTCGAGCTAGCCAGGTTCTTGATTAGGGCATTGGATGCAAAATGTAAAACGCTCTTTCCTTTTCTTCTATCAGCTGTTCAGAGGAGACTCATTACAACTCCTGCTGAAGTCCTAATCTTCCTCCCTTCCCTTCTGCCCCTACCCCGTACCCTCATTGGCCTGAAGACATTGTACAGAGTTTGCCTTACTCCCCTGGTGCTATGTGTATGGTAAACCTGGTACTATGGCCGCATCTCGGACTGGCCAGACAACTGCTGCTGGTTCTCCCTATTCCAAGAAGGATTTAAAGGGGAATTGCACTGCAGGCAATGCATCAGAGCAGCAGCATCGGGAGCTTGGGGACTAAGGCTCCTCGGGCATTATTACAGACACACAGAGCTGACCGCAATGACAGCAGCTGCTCCTTTGAACTGTTGGCAGCAGCCAAGCGGCAGCATGAAGTGAGAGATCACTCCTGAGCTCAAGATGAACTCTACCTTGGATGGTAATCAGAGCAGCCACCCTTTTTGCCTCTTGGCATTTGGCTATTTGGAAACTGTCAATTTTTGCCTTTTGGAAGTATTAATTATTGTCTTTCTAACTGTGTTGATTATTTCTGGCAACATTATTGTGATTTTTGTATTTCATTGTGCACCTTTGTTGAACCACCATACTACAAGTTATTTTATCCAGACTATGGCATATGCTGACCTCTTGGTTGGGGTAAGCTGCCTGGTCCCTTCTTTATCACTCCTCCACTACCCGCTTCCAGTAGAGGAGTCCTTGACTTGCCAGGTATTTGGTTTTGTAGTATCAGTTCTGAAGAGTGTCTCCATGGCCTCTCTGGCCTGTATCAGCATCGATAGATATATTGCCATCACTAAGCCTCTAACCTATAATACCCTGGTTACGCCCTGGAGACTGCGTCTGTGTATTTTCCTGATTTGGCTATACTCCACCCTGGTCTTCCTGCCTTCCTTTTTCCACTGGGGCAAACCTGGATATCATGGAGATGTGTTTCAGTGGTGTGCGGAGTCCTGGCACACCGACCCCTACTTCACCCTGTTCATCGTGATGATGTTATATGCCCCAGCAGCCCTCATTGTGTGCTTCACCTATTTCAACATCTTCCGCATCTGCCAACAGCACACAAAGGAAATCAGCGAAAGGCAAGCCCGCTTCAGCAGCCAGAGTGGGGAGACTGGGGAGGTGCAGGCCTGTCCTGATAAGCGCTATGCCATGGTCCTGTTCCGAATTACTAGTGTATTTTACATCCTCTGGTTGCCATACATCATCTACTTCTTACTGGAGAGCTCCACTGGCCACAGCAACCGCTTCGCATCCTTCTTGACCACCTGGCTTGCTATTAGTAATAGTTTCTGCAACTGTGTCATTTATAGTCTTTCCAACAGTGTCTTCCAAAGGGGACTAAAGCGCCTCTCAGGGGCCATGTGTACTTCTTGTGCGAGTCAGATGATAGCTAAGGACCCTTACACAGTTAGGAGCAAAGGCCCCCTTAATGGATTTCATGTCTGAAGTGGTTCAGATATTGGGTCACTGTGTTGTGTGTGTGTGTGTGTGTGTGTGTGTGTGTGTGTGTGTGTGTGTTTCCTTTTTATCTTTTTGTATTTCTAGTTCACTGGGAAATATGGGACAAAATAGTTTGACTCTAAGCAATAGTTAACAAATGATCCATCCAAAATACCTTTTAAGTTTGCAGAAATGATTTTTTTTAATGCTTTCGAATGAGAAGAATCAGGACCATGAAGATAAATTGCTCTTCGTTCCTATTTCCATAATGTCATGGAAATGACTGTATTTAATTCTCAGACTTAAAATGAATAAAGCCATATCTAACACCTCTCTCCAGCTGGCATGACTGAACCTGGGTGTGAAAAGCGTCAGCATTTTTAAAAGTCATCATTTTCTTGTTGCTTTTCTGGGTTCTTTCCAGCTGTTTGAGCTTCATGTACAATTGATTTCTTTTAACAGGAAATATTAAAATACAGTGATGAATTAACAGGGTTTTAAAATTTTCTTTACCTCTGTCAAAGTGTAACTACCCTGCAGGTTTCCACACTGTCATTCAGAAAGTCAAATGTTTTATGTCTTATTCTCTTGAGAGAATTCTCAATACAGTGAATAATGTGAAAACTTAAACATTAATTTAAAATTTGGGGGGACTTCCCTGGCGGTTCAGTGGTTAAGACTTTGCCTTCCAATGCAGGGGGTGTGGGTTCAGTCCCTGGTTGAGGAGCTAATATCCCACATGTCTCATTGCCAAGAAACCAAAAAACATAAAAGAGAAGCAATATTGTAACAAATTCAGTAAAGACTTAAAAAAAAAAATGGTCCACATCAAAAAAAAAATCTTAAAAAATAAATTTAAAAAAATAATAAAATTTTTGCATTGAACCATGAAGCAAAAGTGCAGTCAAATCATATAATTTATAGAAAAACTAAGCTGTATTTTATGCCATGCTTCACTGAGACCTAAACAAATATGTATACTGAAAGTGATTGTGTTGTAGTATTTTTGCCCAAGCCTTTGTGTATGTGTGTATTGAGAATATTTGAATTGAGTTAGATTTCTCTTTTACAGCAAAATGCATTTAAATAAGCTGAAAAATAATTAAATGATAGGCTGATGGCTGCCATTTTTATAATGGTGAAAATACATTGAAAAGTGTCTTTAGTCTTCTCTGCTCTTTTTAGCTAGAGACTTTCTGAAATACTAGAATATCAGGAAGAAAGGTCCTAGGCAACTGAGTCAGAAAATACAATGTACATTTAGCTAGTTCATTTTTAAAATAGGAGGGGTTGATTGAGATGGTCTCTTTGTGGTTAAATGGTATCATCTAATAAAGTAGTAACTAATTCTTTTTAAAAGCGTTCTTTCAGTTAGTGTTAAGGAATCCATATTTGAATGAGAGAAGGAGAAATTCTGATTCTCTATTGCTATTCTCTTTCTGGAAAAAAAAATCCTTGGAATACTGTTCCTTTCCTAAATAGGCTTTTTTTTTTTTTTTTAAGCCAAAGTACTAGCAAAATCTGTAGAATTATTAATTGAGAGTGCTGTGTATCTGTATGTAGAGTGATGTTTTGTTCCTAAAAGTAATTATGTTTAGAGCGAGAGGTTTATTTTTCTAAAAGGAGAGAAGGATTTCCCAGCAGCTCCAAGCATGAAAGTATTTCCTCTGCTCTTCTACTGGTTTTAATGTTTTAGAAGTCTTCAGGGAACTTGTATGTGATCTCTGCCTTTGGCTAGATGTTGTAATCTGAATGTGACAGTGGTGTTCAGTGAGATTGAAGATAGAAGAAAACCAAGGGAAATGTGGATTTTTGAGTCCAGGGAAGGACATAGATATTTATAAAACAGGCAGATATGCTTTGGTTTTCCATCATCATATTAGAAAACCTCCTACCCCCTTTTAAAATAAAAGATGGCATTCTTATGATTTTAGGTTTTAGAGATTGATTGGATTTTAACCTCAAATGTATTCTACTTAAACATTTTTATTTTAAGAGAACAAGTATGAATATAAGCATTTAAACTTCAGATTCTGAGTTCTTCCCAAAAGCTTGCTTGCTCTTTATATTTAGTATTAGAAAATTTGATTCTAAGTTGTTTCAAAATTTAGAACTCATATTGGAATTGCACGTTATGTTAGCAGTGGCTTTGTTAAGTTGCCATTTGAAGTAGAAAACCTTTTCTGTTAGATTCTGAAAAAAAGCTGTATACAATTCCCCTTTATTTAAGTGGCACAGATCTAAGAAGACAAAATTCCCTTTTTTTCATATGTATCAGAGAATGTAACCTGTCCAGATTTGCACAGTTTGCTTGTCAATTTTTAGTTCAGATATGGGACTCATGAAGATTAATTTTTATGGAAAACTGATGTTAAATCAGTAGATTTTTTGTGTGTGTGGGGGTACTGAGCCCTTTTAATTTTTTCTTGCAGTAGGGTTCCATTTTAGAGAAAACAAAAGTTTTTGGAAAAGATTTTGTGGGAATGTTACGGAAATGAGGAAATCTCTGTTTAATTTTCTGGAAATGGCTAATCAAGCTGAGCTTTCAATGACTGGAAGGCAACAACTCTTTTAATAAGAGCTTTTGTTAGTAGATTTTTATATTTTTGCCCTAGTACCAAATTTAGATGCCAGAGGGTTTTTTTATTGGTTTTTTTTTTCACGTTAGAACCTCTCAGCCTAAAACTAAAGTAGGAACTAAGTAGATATAGTAACTTTAAAGAAAAATAAAGCATTCCTCCCCAGCTGATACTTAATATCAGATGTCTTTCCAGTTTATCTTGTAGTCATTGGACTTTATAAACTCTAACGTTTCTTCCAGGTATCAATTCTATTCTCATATTTCATTGTCTGTACTGCTTTAAAATTTTTGTTTTCTTGTGGTGTGTGTATCCTGGGGAGAAGGGTTGTGTTTGAATGCAATCATACAATCTTCTGTGGCTGGGGGCAGTTTCTGTGTGGTGCATTTGGAGAGTTTGTATTTAAGTAACCTTTTCATCCTTGCATATTTAGTGCAACATTTAATGACGTTTTATTTAAATACCAATCTGACTAGTTCAGAATGAGAAAAAGTATATTTTTAGAGTCAGTTACCTTAGGCTTTGACAAGACAGCCCATTTAACTTTATATAGTATATGGCTGATATCAGAGGAAGCATAAGCTTTTGGTGACTGTGTTGAAATTATTTCACAGTAAATTTTAAAATAAGACTATAGTAATTGTTATATTTGTAATTAGTTGTGTTTTTATACAATGATTTCAGTGAAGGTGTGTTTTTTTCCTCTTAGAGCGGAAAAGCAATTACAAAAGGACAAGTGCTCCACTTTAATGAAAGAATTATCTTTCACCAGAATGGATATTTGAATTTTTCATGGACCTGTTGGCTTTAACCCTAAATTCCATTTTGGAAAGAGTTTTATTTAAGGTTTATTGCTGGATAAATATGTTTTTTGAGCCTTTTATAGTGGCTTTTCCTTTTTACTTGAATAATGGTCTCAGTATTTTAAGGATTGGGAAAACTTGAATTTTTGTACTATTAAATGCATTTACTGTTCACCTCTTTGAACTTGAAAATGAAGCAACAGGGTTACAAGTTCCCAGATGGTAGAGTGATTTCTGGGAGTTTCCTCAGCTTTGCAGGTTTGATTAAAACATCTGCCTTTGATGGCTTTGTAGGAATTTTACTGACTGTGTTTTTGAATCATAAAAGATTTGTGAAATAAATTATTGGCAAACCAGAATTTCTTGCTATATGAGGAAATTTGGGGAAGTTTAAGGATGGGGGAGAATCATGGAACTATAAACTTTTTTTAAAGTCTTCATAAGTCATTATTTGTGTTGATTTTTGCATAATTTTTCCATTTCAGGTTACTAAATATTTTATATTAAATGTACATATTATTAACGTATTTTGCAGACCCAAGGAATATTCTAGACATTTCTTATGGCTGTAAATGAGTCACTTGGCTTTTCTTCAAAATTTGGATGATAACGGAATCATGATATGTAAAATGAACTTTGAACTGCGAATCTAGGTTTCTGTTACTAATTAACTCGTTTTGTAAGGGCTGGTCGCTTCTCTAAGCACTTAATTTCTTCTATTTATAATAATCCTTTCATCCTTCACAGGGTTACTTTGAGGATTGAATTAGATAACGGATGTAAGAGAACTTTGTAATATGTAAAGTGCTTTGAAAATAAAAATGATTACTGTTATTTGTATCTGCCATAGCTTTACATCTAAGGAAGCTGCATATAATGTGGCGCTCCCCCCCATAAGATCTTTGAAGGTCAATGCTAGGTGACTATTCCATGCTACTTAGCAATCCCAAAATAACAGTAACTTTAAATTCAACATAAAATTGTTACATTTACTCTCTTTACTTGTTTCCAAAGTCTCTAAAGGCAGGGACAATGTCTCTTCATACCTTTAACCCCCAAATCTAACATAGGACCTGGCTTAGAGCAGAAGTTTTAGTAAGTTTTACGGAGTTAATGAATGAGCCTTTCTAATTATTACTTCTAGTCACTATTATTACTTCTAGTCATTATAGAGCAGTGATGTTCAAAGGGTAGTCCAAAGCCCATAAGCAGTTTTTCATTTGATCAAAGCCATTCTAGACTGTATATAATAAATATCTCTTTTTAGTACCAAGAGACTACTGTGGGAATGTGTGTGCTTTATATGCTAGGTAACTTTACTCCTGGAAACTGTAGCCTTGGCCCAGGGAACTTCAGGCAGTGCTGTCAAACTGCCAATTTCTCACAGCATGGGTAAGATCTTGGCTCTAGATGCAGATAAGATAGGCTGTAAAAATCAGTCACTATGAAAGAGGAGCAATAGAATAGGATAGCTTGGTGAAAGAAATGGCTCTAATTCTTTGGTTTTGCTTTTTCTTTCAGTCTTTACCACTTTTCTAGCTCTATCTTCCCTTTCTTTCTTTTCTTAACACACTGTTGGTCATGTATTCAGAGTGAAGTGCTTATCATACTGCTATAGGGTATGGAAAATTGTATTATGCAATAACTGGCTTTTTGGAAAAGTTTAAGAAGCAATCAGGAAGCGCTTATGTAGCAAGCTCTACTAGATGCCAGGTAGTATAGCTAGCTGGCCTCAGAGATTTAAAGAAGGATCACATGATTCCTTTCTTATGGAACTTTATAGTTTTCAGATGTTTCATATGGAAAAATTCTGTGATCTGTCTTTCAAAAAGCTTCACAGAGTGACTTTATCAGGAGGAATTTACCAAGGCCTACTGGTGGGACAGTTGGCACACCATGGGTCTGTTTCTTGGGTGGGTTCATTATGCCAGTATATAAAATCATAATGTCACTTCATTAGTTTAAAATAAGAAATCATTGCTGGCAATAGGGAGCAGTCTTTCTCTATTGGTAGATCTTCATGGGAAGCCAAACCATATTCAGAATGTTGCTTAGTGAGGATGGAATCTCAGAATATGGTTCTGTAATGTGAAAATTTACTGGTATAAGACTGAGCCTGATGTTCCATCTCTGAAATCAGAAAACCTGGTCATTGGGATCCTAATAAAAGTTGAAATCATCTGTGCTTCCAGTACTGACCAACCTACCTTCTAATTGACATATTATTTCTTTAAATTAACTTCTTTTGTTACTTTTAGTAAAATTCCTTGCGAGTTTTAACAGTCTTACAAGCTTGCTAACTCATTCTCTCTCTTTTTGGTGGTTTTATATATCACTTTTACCATGAAACATTGTTTTCTGATGTAGTATTCAAAGGGTGGCCTTACTACTTTGTTAGTTTGGGGAAGCAACTCATCTTGGTTTTCATGGAGTGAATATATACTGTGTAGTTGGAAAAGCAAGATATATGAAAATACCTATAAAAATTAACAGTATCAGTCAGGTAATTAGAATAGAGACATTAAATTTTTGAAAGTCAGATCATCCACAAAGGAGATAGGGAGGGACATTTGAGCTGTAGAAGACCTTAGAGATCATTTGGTCTGATTCTCTCTTTTTATAGTCAGGAAACCAGTCCAGTGGCCACACAGCCATTTATGATAATACCCAGACTTCCTACTTCCTAATCTATCATCCATTCCTATTATATCTTGTTGCTTTTGCAGAGGAGTGGGAGTTTGCCTTCACTCAGCCAAGTCCTGAATAAGACTTAAATAGGCTGATATGAGGTGTTTGTTCTTGTGTGTGTAATTTTAGGTGTAGAAAGCATTATGGGCAATGATATAAATGTTAACTGAGGCATGTTATGTTTCAGAAGAATTTTATAAACTTTGTCCTGTTTAATCCTTCTGATGCTCTGTGAGCTAGTGACTATTATTAACCTCATTAAAAAGATGAGAAAACTGAGATTGAGTTGCCAGAGACAAACAGTTAATAAGTGGAAGATCTGGGATTCAAACCCAGGTCTTTCTGACTTCAGAGCCTACATTCTTACCTCACGTAATTCTCACGGAAACCTATCAGGCAGTTTTTAAATTTTTTTTATAACTCTGTTTTACAGGTGAGGAAACTTAGGCTTAGAGAGATTAAGAAACTTTTGTCAATATATCAACTAACTCCCATACTTGGAAAATATGTGACAGACTTCCTACTAAATATAGCAGATTTAGTATGCATATTTATTTCTGTTAACTCCACTATAAAGAATGACAAAAGTATAATACATATGGACAAAGAGAAGAGCAGAGCTGATGGCAGATGAATGAAGCTGACAAAATTTGGGGTTATGGAAACCCAGTGGACAAGTGGTAACTGACTCAGCAGAATTGACAAAGCTGAATTTGGGGGAGGGGCAGAGAGGATCTGCCAGTAAACCCAGTAAATATGTGGGAATTAGACTTCTGATATGCCTCTCAGACAGAGAGTAGTATGAAGCTGAAAACTGAAGAATTGTTAGAAAGTTTATTGAAGGCACGTTTAGATACCGTCACTCATCCCCCCACCCCCACACTCCTCCACTGTACACCACCTTGATCCCCATCCCAAGTTGGCCCTAGCAGACCACTGGTTTTTCACCATCCCAGTAGAAGATGGGAGACTTACTCTTTGGAGTTTGAACCACAGGCGTTCTGGATGCCAGGCATAGCTGAGAATGGGACTGAGACACCTTGTTGAAAACAAGAGTATCAAGAGAAAGTCTGCTTATTAAATAATCAGTTTCCCTTTCCCACTACACTCCCAGAATGCTCTTAGCCTTAAACCTTCTAAGCAGGAGATAAGAGGAGTCTAGTTTGGGGGCCAGTATCTAAGGGCTCTCAGTTCCGACAGTCCCTGCCCAGTCACGTTAAGTTGATGCCCATCAGTCAGCGAATCCTACCCATGCATATAGAGCTTCCAATTAGTTTTTTGTTCCTTATCTTTTAATATCAACAGTTAACCAGAGAAAGTCTTATGAATAGACTTGAGAAAATGTATTATGAATGCACAGAGCCCAAAACAAATCAGAGGGAACAGAAACAAGTCATAGAAGAAAACTTCAAAAAAAAAACCCCAGTATTTGTAACTAATATTTTCAGAGAAGATTTTGCATCCATTAAGGAAAAAAGGATGCCATAAAAAAAAAAAAAACAGAGAACAAGAAAGCTTTTGAGATTAAAAATATAATCAGACATTTTTAAAAATTAGAAAAGTTGGAAGATAAAATTGAGGTAGAGCAGATAGTGAAACAAAAGACAATAAAGGAGGTAAAAAGCAAGACAATTAGAGGCATGATCAAGGAGGCCCAATGTCTGAATAACATGATTTTCAGAAACAGAATAGAGAAAAAGAATGGAGAAATTCTCAGATATCACAAGAGAAGTTTATAGAACTGAAGGATATGAGTTTCCATAATGAAAAGGACCAATCAGCTTAGTGTAATAAAAAGACTTTGTGATGGCAAATCATAAAATTTCAGAACACTGGAGATAAAGAAAAACCTAAAAGCTTCTTGGTCTGGAATAGGGATGGGATAGTAGAAGCATCCTAAGTACAGAGATCTGAATAGCATTGTACTTTCTACCACAACGAAGCAAGAAGGTAATTAGGAATAAATTCAAACTTAAGAAGTGATTTTTTTATTAAAATTTTATTTATTTATTATTGGCTGCGTTGGGTCTTTGTTACTGTGCACGGGCTTTCTCTAGTGGCGAGCAGGGGCTTCTCTTGTTTTGGAGCACAGGCTCTAGGCGTGTGGGCTTCAGTAGTTGTGGCATGCGGGCTCAGTAGTTGTGGCACACGGGCTCAGTAGTTGTGGCATGCAGGCTCTAGAGCACAGCCTCAGTAGTTGTGGTGCACGGGCTTAGTTGCTCCGCGGCATGTGGGATCTTCCCGGACCGGGGCTCAAACCCTTTTCCCCTGCATTGGCAGGCAGATTCCTAACCACTGCGCCAACAGGGAAGTCCCAGAAGTGATTTTTAACCTAGAATTTTATGCCCAGTCAAACTTTCATTCAAATGTGAGGATAAAACCCATTTTGAGATATGTGAGGTCTCAAAATATTTACCCATCTTACAAATATAGATACATAGAACACTGAGGGAAAGAAAATTTGCAATTAGTAACTTCAGAAAAAATAGAAGATGAAAGAAGGAAATCTAATCATGATATACTCTGTGATTCAGTTATGAGAAATACAGATTTAGCCAAAAATTGTAGCAAAATTAATTTGAGAGTCATGATGAGGGGAAGGGGGAAGTATGTTTGGAGGGTAGGTGGGGTTGGGACTGTAATAGAGCTACAGTATCATCTCCCATACAAGAAAGTCTTAAAAAAAAAAAAGAAAAGCCAGAAAGTAGCAATTTATGCATTTTGTTCAGAACTAGGAAGGAAACACAAACAGCTAAAAAAGATGAAAATTGTTGCCCTTTGGGCAGCAGGGAATAGGGTGGGAGGTATAAGGGGTCTGCTGTTTTTCTTTGTACGCTTCGTATGGTTTGACCTTTACAACTGCGTAGGTGTATTATTTTTTATGGAAAGCATAGACCACGTTTAGATAAAGGCAGATAAATTTTAACATTGATAGGAGGAAACCAGGAAGTGTAGGTTTAGAACATATTACTGAAGTAGAACATGAGGGCGTGATAGCACACTGTATTTACCTATGGCCTTGTACAGAGCAATTTTCTATTTATCATCTCATTTCATCCTCCTAGGAAAACAGGCAAAAGGGATGTTATCCCTCTTTGACAATTGTGGAAGCTGAGTTTTGAGGCTGTAAGACCTTTTTGATTCCTAGTCTACTACTACTATGCCTCATAAGTATGTTTGAATCTTTCTGGATTTTTTTAATTTTGTTTTTTACCAAGAGAAGACAGCAGATATTAGAAAGCATCTTCTTTGACATCATGGGAAGGAATACATGAAAACAAATGTGTGTATGTATCTATGTATATGATGAGTATGTGTGTACTGGTATACAAGTATCTATAATGTAAGATCTGGCATTCTGAGATCACAAGAGGCACGCAGATTACTGTGTGGTAGTCATAGGTAAGGAAATGTGTGTTAGATTTCCTTAGAAGGCAGTGTATGAGGTGGGCTGAGCTCTGGGTAGAGTAAGATTTCTGTAGTCTTATCTCCTCCCACCCGTTGAATGAGATTGGCATAAAATATTCAGCTGGACAGGATTAAAGGAACCCAAAGGGCCAACAGACAAAAGACCCTAATAAAGTGACCTACAATTATCAAACAATCTATGACATGAGAAGCCTTTAGCAAATTAAAAAGTATGTCTTTATGATAAATTGCCTTGATTGTAGTCACTTAATGCTTTATTGGAGTGTTACAAAAAGATTGTATTGGCTTTGAATAAAATATGAAAGAGTCTTTTCAAAGTAAAACTTTAAATTGTGCATCTTAGCTTTCAATAAACATTTGTTGAATTGAATTAGCAAGACAGTATTTTGGGGAGAAAGCAAAAGTTACAGCATTAAATAGCATGATATATTTTTGAAAATTCTTCCAGAAAGACTGGGGAAACCCTCACTGCCAAAGCTGTTTATTTATATCTAGACCAAAAAAAAAAAAAAAAAAATCCATTTGAGGGTCTCTGTCTTCATTGGCCCCTGGGGAGCAGAATCTGACTTAAAAGCCTTTTTCATTTAAAAAAATTCTCCTTCATGACATGATATTTGTAGGAATTAAAAGCATTCCTACTTAGATTATGTTAACATCATGTATAGTTAGCAGTCATTGTACTAAAGATACATGTGTAGCCTACCGAGCGCAGGAAATAAAACAAAATTTAGATCCTAGTTCTGACAGTTGATTAGATAATTTAATCTGTCAGAACTTCAGAAGGATACTAATCTTTAAGCGAAGATGACTCTGATATTATAGGAGTCAATTCAAGATCAGATGCATGTTGCATTAATGTAAAACTCTTTACATTGTTAACTGTATTTACTTTATACTCTTAGATCACTGTTTTTCTGAGATAAAAAAAGAAGATAGTGAAAAGAGCATGGATTTTGGAATCTCTGGCCCTTGGTTTTCCACTCTGTAAAATGGGATTTTATCCCCTTGTTACGATTATTGTGAAAATGTGATACTGTCACATCTTAAGTATATAGAATTGTGCATGGTGGCATCATAGAAGCTCAGTAGAAGACTGTTGCTGTTATTTCCTTGTCACACAGAGTCAGAATCTCCCAGTAACTTCCAGTGCCTGATGTAAATACCCTCAGAGGAAAGGCCCTGGGTGAACGTGGAGGGGCTTGGTGAGCCTCTTTCTCTCAGGGATCATAAACCTAAAGTTCTGCCTTGATGGCTTACTTCATCATGTTACTGATGTTTTATGTATTTTGTCCTGCTTTTATTGTATGTTCCACAGGAGGATTAGTCCTATACAATTCTCAGACACTAAGATACATATATTTAGATGTACTTTATTAGTCCTATACAATTCTCAGACATTAAGATACATATATTTAGTCATTGGGGGTTACAGTAAGCTTTAATAGGTTAGAGATGGAAAGGAAATTTGGGACTGAAGTGGTAAAGAGGTATCACTTTAATTGAACCTTAAAAATGAGTTATATTAGGAAAAAAGTAAAACTGTGACAAAGGATGTTTTAAGCTTCGAAGGCCTCAGTGAAGATGGGCCATTTATATACTTTATCCATGTAATATGTAGTGATAAAAAGTATGTGCTTGAGAGGCAGGCAGACCTAGTTTTGAATCCTAGCCCTGACACTTACTAGCTGTGAGACCTAGGACAAGGTTCATTATCCCTCTTAGTTTCTGTTGCCTTAACTAATAGTACTATCTCATACAAGTATTGTAAGGCTTAATTAATGAGCTATTGCATGTAAAGCTCTTAGCACAGTTGCTTGGTCTGCAGTAAGCATTCAGTACATGTTAGCAGGTGCTGTTAGCTTCCTTGTGAATAGGGCAATATGGATGAACCAGAGGTTTCAATTTGAGGTGTAATGGAGTAAGGTCAGAAAGATAAATTGGGGCTACCTGATCTGGAATAAAAGGCTAAGGGATTTGACTCTAATTAGGAATTGTAGATGGACTTAAGGTTTTTGAGTAGGTGAATAACATAAATATAAAATCCTAAAGTGACAGAGCTGGAAGATCCCTTAGAGTTCAGTCCTTTCTCAAATGGGGAAAGGGAGACCCAGAGTAGTGACAAAGTAAATTAGTTGCAGAACTGGGACTAGAATCCCGGCCTTAGACCTCCCTTAGACTCAATCATGACACCAAAATAAGTCCAAAGGATTGTTCAGCCTTTCAGTCACTTGATTGGTCAAGTGCTTAGAAAATGTGCATTGCCAGCAGGTTCAGAAAAAAAGAAACAAGTGTTCAGATTTTGATGTGGATGAAATAAAATAAATAGTCTTTCCATTGGTACTTTCAACCAAACAAATTAAGATTTGAAAAATCTTAATTAGTTAGAAAGTTTTCTTGATCAGTGGCAGTCACCTCAGAAAGGGGAAGTAAAAATACATGAAATGCGTGGTTCTAGAATGCCTTCGTTGGTATTTATATTATTTGTACTGCTAGTGAGATTGGAGGGTGAAGTTGTTTTGTTTTTTTTTGCGGTACGCGGGCGTCTCACTGTTGTGGCCTCTCCCGTTGTGGAGCACAGGCTCCGGACGCGCAGGCCCAGCGGCCATGGCTTACGGACCCAGCTGTTCTACGGCATGTGGGATCTTCCCGGACCGGGGCACGAACCCATGTCCCCTGCATCGGCAGACGGACTCTCAACCACTGCGCCACCAGGGAAGCCCCGAGGGTGAAGTTTTTGCTTAAATAAAATTGAAGATCATTGCTTATCCAGTACCTTTTAAAGTTGCTATTACCCAGGAATTTTAAATACAAAAACATAAAAAGAATTTAATTCCAGGTTGGCTCTTACTACCTATCTAATAAGCCATTACCACATAGATACTAACAGACCTTGGTTGGTATGATACCTATGTGCCATTAAGTTTTTAGGTTAATAGAGAAAGATCTAACTAATTATATAGCTTTATACATTAATGATAGAATAAGATAACTTTTAAATCTTTAAATAATTGTTTCTTGATAATTGTTTCTTAAGATTAGCTCTTTGGTAGGAAA